GGGCGGTAAACATCGCTGTGGCGCCCACCACCGTCTCCATAGCGCTGACTGTCACTGTGACGACCACCACCATCCCCATGGCGCTGACTGTCAACGTGGCGATTGCTTCGGTTGTCAACGAATCGTTCCCTGCTGCCACTGCCGCCGCCGCCACCACCACCGACACCCACACCGACACCACCACTTCCGCCAACGCCTTCTCTGCTGTTGATGCCAGCACTAGTGCTGTTAAATCCCTGAATTCCAACATTTGGAAAGCCAGGTACACTGCTTAGGTTCCCAGCGCTGGTAAAGCCTGGGATCCCCTTTACCGCAGCAGCAGCTGCTGCAGCAGCAGCAATTGGACTGTCAGGACTTGCAGCATTCTGCTGTGCTGAATTTGTGGGTACTGAATTCAAGCTCCCAGCGCTGGTCCATCCACTGGCCCCAGCAGCAGAGCTACCAGTCTTTTGGTTGTTTAAGCTGGCAGCAACAAAGTGGCTCTTGTATTGTGACTGCAGGAAGTAGAAAAAGAGTGTTAGCTCTGACCTAATTCTGGGGAGGTGCACACGTGAAAGGGACTCTGCTAAGAAACTGGTATTCGGGAGATAACATTAGTTTTGTGTTTCTTTAAGTGGGATTGGTCCTGCTCCTACCAGGGGGTTGGACTCGACCTCCTGGGGTCTCATCCAACTCCATGACTTTATGATTCTAAGTGCGCTCCTGCTGGCAGTGCATATGTTGAGCTAAACAAGGGGACTTCTCTATTGTGGGATTTTCTGTATACTCTGCAGTGTAGAGACTCATTAGCTCTTACAACTCCCAGTAGATTACTGGTGCCACACAAAAGAAAAGGGACTCCTTTAATGATGCAGGACAGGTCTGATACTGGGAACAGAGCCCACATGAGGAACGGAATGCAAGGGCAATCCTGTAATGCAGTTGCACTGGACAACTGAGGACCAGCAAACAGGAGATACATGATTAAGGAGCTCTGTATAACTTGTGCATTTAAAATCTTGAATTAGCGCAATTGCGACAGTATGCCAGAGTGTTCCCAAGGATTTAGCTAGATGAAGATGATATGCTGAAGATTCCAGTACCCCAACAGCACTTCAACTGCAATACTGTGCTACTAAGGAACAGATGTACAGAGTGCTCAGATCATAGAACAAAATGCAGGGAATGGAAGTTTTTGCTACATGATCAATATTAATAAAATGCAAGAGGCACTGAACTGTAAAAGCATATTTTAAAGTTTCCAAGAAGAGGTTGCTGGTTAAGTCTCTCAATCTGTGACAGCATCACAATTTTACCACACAGGGAGACTAAAGGCAGGAAGAGGTAGAGTGAATAGAACAGGACAGGGATTCTGCTTGCATGACAGCCAGTGTGTCTACTCAGAATTAAAAATAGATACGGGCATGATTTTCAGGTATTAGGTACCCAGCTTTGCTTCTGCTCAGTAGTGAACAGTTTAACTTTTACTTCATGAGCTCCTCTTTTCCTCTGGGGAACACAAGTGATCAAACAAACCTGAAATGCTGCTTTCATTGCAGTCAGTCTGTCTCCCATTGCCCCAGTGGATGGCTTGTATGCCTCGTAGTTACTCATCACATTGCTGCTGTTCCCACGATCCTGAGGACAAATCAAAAGAGAAACTGAACTTGTCAGACTACACCCTTTTCCCCTCATCCTACCTCCAATCTCAGGGACTGGCTGCTTTTCCCTAAAGATCACAAGATGTCACAACAACCCTGAGGTCGTATGCAATGTATTTGTAGCTATATCCGTCCCAGTATATAGGAAAGATAAGGGGGGGATGAGGTAAATGTGTTTTACTGGACCAAATTCTGTTAGGAGAAACAAGTTCCAATAAAAGATATTATCTCACCCAAACTGCTGTTTCTTCAACAGCCTTAAGAGCAAGGTCAGTGCTAATCACACTTTACTGATGGGGAAATGGCTAAGATTAGAATGCAAGACATCCCCCCCCACACACACACACAACCACTAGGCAACATTACCACCAGATGGGGCTGTTCATAAGGAAGAAAATGGGAAAAGGGAAAGAAAATTTGTATCTGAAGGTTCACCCCTAATTCAGGCACACAGACATTTATGGGATATTCTGATCTCCACCCTGCAGAGGTGGGCATGAATCCAGGGCAGTGGAGTCCACTTCAAATGGGTCCCTGCCTCTAAGCATGAGTGCTGCATATGATTCAGCTGGGAGAGCAGCCGAATGCAAGCCTTCAGTAGCCAAGGTTATATGCGGACCAGGCCTTGACCTTGGCTATTGAACTGATGTTACACGGGGGTATTATCAACACTTCTCAAGCGTATTTGTGCTTGGTGTTCATTCAGTCACAAGTATTGCAAACCCTCTGGACCATAGTGAGTAGTTTTTCTAGCTCACACAGGGCTCTAAAGATGTTCTCAACCAGTCTAACTGAATTCCAAACATTTGTGGTGCCAGGAACCAACCAAGCTTCAAGGTTCAACTATATCCTATTCTTGGGGAGCAAGCCCCACTCACAGGACATGTTGGGATGCACAATTTTTGTGCTAAATGTCAGCTTCAGAAAAGTCAAGTCAAATTAGAAACCCATCTCTCTCAGACCCATTGTGTGGCTCTGAACAAAGCCATCAAGGCCTCAAGGTGAGAGTTCAGTACAGTTTTAAGGCTTTGAAAATAGCGGTTTCCTACTTACGGAGCCATCAGAACCCAGGCCAGGGCGTTCGCGGTATCCCAAGCCACCCCCGCCGATGTTCAGCTTCTTGCCTTTCCCTCCTTTGAAACGGGATTTCCGGAACCAGGCATTCTATATGAAACAAAGACAACTGCTTGAAATGCAAAACAAGAGCCTAATAATGCAGGGGTGGGAAGAGAAAGGTTTTGTTTCATCGTTTTGAAAGAAAACTACATAAATGTTTTATTTACTGTCCCAAGCAGCCCTTGTCACAAGCTGATGGGTTAGGGGAAATATCTGTACTGAAACTAAACTCTAGTCTAGATGGAGTTGTGCTGTTTGTGACTGGGTACTTCCTCTAGGTATGCATTTTGTGAGCACTGGTTTTATTAAACTCTCATTCCAAATTAATGGTGTGTCTTTTCTCTTGTAAAAATACAGAACCAAAGACGTTCTCTATGCTCTTTACCATGGGAGGTCTATCGCCTTCCATTCTTAACTTTTAGGATCCACTGACCCTATCAATTCACCCTAGTAATGGGATAAGGAGAAAATAAGGCTGACTGGAACACCCTGAATATGCAAAGTTTTATGTCTACACCCAAACACTGTTCCCAGGGTTTTCTGAGCATTGGTTGCATCTGCCAAATGTCTGGCTTGGTTTGCTCAGGTCTGGGGGAACTAGTAATGTAAAATTTTCAAAAATGCCTAAGTGATTTAAGAGCCTAAGTCCTAGTTTCAAAAGTGAGCCTACAAACCTAACCTTGTTGAAAATCAGTGGACGTAATCGCCCATCTCCATTGGTTCCCAAACTGTGAGGCACCCCCCCCATCCTGTTGGCGTAGAAAATCATGGGGGCCGCAGTGGGGCCTAGAGCAGCCCCTATGAGGGGGTGGATAGTGAATGCCATGCAGCCCCACTCTGACCCTGTCCCTAGCCCTGGGCTGCAGCTCTGGTTCCTCTCTTTGCCCCCACTACCAGCTGTGACTTGACCACCCCCCCAACCCTCAGCTGCAAGCCCCCGTTCTCTGCAGCCAGCCACAGCCTCCAGCCTGACCCAAAACACATTCTATTTGTGGTAAAGGGGACATGTTGAGAGGAAAAGTTTGGGGATCACTTTTAAAATTGGTCCTTTAAGACACTTTCAAAATATTTACCCATCCAATCTCTACCTTTTGTACAGCTGAAGCCACAAGAATACTAGCTCCATCCTAAAATTACTCTGCACCCCCTGCTCCCCAGCAGATGTGCTGGGCAGTATGGGAAAGTACTGAAGGAATCCTAGAATTCAATGGTACAACCTTATCAAGCATGCTACGTGTGGGCATGCCAGAGCAGCTTGGACAGACAGTGTTGCTGAGCAGCTACGCTGAATAAGAACTATTTCACAGAGCAGATGTGTCTGCAATAAGCTGCCCTGCTAACTCTCAATTAAGCCACATTTCTAGGTGTCTGCCGTAAAGACAGAACGCACGTGAGGATTTGACTGTAATAAGCCTCCTCAAAGCCATATAGCGTTTAGCTGGAATAGTAGAATCATAGAACACCAGAACTGGAAGGGACCTCGGGAGGTCATCGAGTCCAGTCTCCTGCCCTCTTGGCAGGACCATGCATTGTCTAGCCCACCCCTGATAGATGTCTGTTCAACCTGCTCTTGAATATCTCCAGCGATGGAGATTCCACAACCTCCCTAAGCAATTTATTCCAGTGTTTAATCACCCTGACAGTTAAGAAATTTTTCCTAATGTTTGACCTAAACCTCCCTTGCTGCAGTTTAAGCCCATTGCTCCTTGTCCTATCCTCAGAGGCCAAGGAGAACAAGTTTTCCTCCCTTCTCCTTGTAACACTCTTTTATAGTAGGTCCTGGCTTTCTTGGCACAGTCACTCTTTTTAGCAACAGACTTCAAAACAGACCCTGAGCTCTGCTCCAGGGTATCCATTTCCTCCTGTGAGGACGGATTCTCTTGAAGGCCCCGGAAAAGGTGGAAGGTCAGACCTTGGCACTGCAACTGCTGAAAGCCCACACTACTTGACGGCTGCCAGACCATGTGTGAGAGACGATATGCACTGTAAATCAGTGCAGTGGGAACTAGGGAGTCAAGAGGATCCTGCAGACCTGAAACCGAGGCTACTCAACTGAAGATTCATTTAGATTGTTTACACGTTAACGGTGTGCATGCTGCGCTGCAACTTGATACATGCGTCTTGAGCATTGTAGAAAAAAACCTGACTTGTTTCACAGTAAGGAAACTGAGACATAGTCAGACCAAAAGGTAATACAGCAAGTCTGTGACGGAGCTAGAACTACAGCCCTGAACTCCTGATTTCCCCTTTGCCTAGCTCTAATCATTGAATGATGCTGCTTCTTCTAGCTGAGACACATCTTGTTTGTTTGTACCTGCATTGCAAGGTCCAAGAGTTCTTTTGAAACATGCTGATTGGCTCCTTCCAGATTTCTGACAAGATCGCCAGCAAAATTACTGTCCTTGGGAGTGAGTAAAGTGTAAGCTATTCCTTTCTCGCCAGCCCTGCCGGTACGTCCAATTCTGTGAGTGTGGGTGTCTATGTCCCGGGCCACATCATAATTGATCACAGTCTTAATGGAAGGAATATCCAGACCACGAGCTGTAATGCAGAGCAACATGACAATCAGCTTAACTATCCTGAATGAACATAAAAGTCCCATGAAGATGAGCTTGGTCATCTTGACACAGCTCAAACTAATTAGAGAATGACCCATTTAAGCCAACCTTGTTATAGCTGACAGTGACACACAAATCCTGCACATCAGGTTAACAGGATCCTGGACATCAGAGATGGAAGAGAGCCGCTGAGTTGAGTATATCCCTAATCAGGGCAGTGTCTTAACGGAGGATACAGCAGACAAACACTTAGTTTTAGACAAAATTCCAGGATCTAAAAGCTGTTTTCCTGAAGGTTTTCTATGTCTGTTTCCCCGCTCCTAGCAGCCTATGTAATATCCCAACTGATTTTAAGCTACCAGAGTGTCAATACTTCTAAGGGAGCAGTTAACTTTCTCTAAGAGAAGATGGCAAGCAGATCTCTAGTCTAGTATTGACCAAACTGAAAATCAGACTGTGCTTCTGGTACAGCGTACTTCTGAACAACAGTTATTGTTCCGAAGGCTGTAGAAACAAATCCCACCACCTTTTGTTTACTTCTATTTCTGTGCATGGAAAAGGATCATCAACAATGCACATAACTACAGGGTGCTATGCTTCCCTCAGTGAGCGTGTTAGCTGGCATGAACACTGCACTGCTCCATCCCCTTATCTGCTGTTCTCAGAGCTTCACAGTTCCCTGAGGTGGGCAGTAGCCATTTTACACAGACAGTAACTGAGGCAAGAAAGGCTAAGCGGCTTGTTCCACCCCCAACGAATCTGGCACAGCAGTCCCCCATGCAGCGGCCCTGACTCTGGGCCAGGAGTTGTGCCGTTGAAAATGGCCCGACTGGAAACAGGCCCTGCCCTGGGTGCTTCAGACTGGGCTGCGAGAGGCTGCAGCGGCTTCAGGCTCCCACAGTGCCCAGAGTGGGAAAGCCACTTTCTCCTCTCCCGCCCCCATTTTGGGAGGGAAGGCCTGAGAGGTGACACTGGGGATGTGAGCTGGGATCCTGGTGCTTCTCCCTCCTGCAGGGGTGGGGGGCATTGGGAACTCATCTCATCTCTATGGGATCCCCAAGATCCAGCCTTGCTGGGTGGGCGCAGGTCAGGTGAGGGGGTGAATCAGGCTCAGGCAGATGTATGGGGTGCCCCAGCGCACTTGGGCCACTCTGTTCTTCCCACACAGAGGCCAAGAGGGGAGGGGGCAGGTGGGACACAGAGTGGTGTGATTACATCACTCTGTTGTCCTGCGCACACACGCACGCACTTTTCAATGAAGGCAAAATGTTTGGCGGGGGGGAGCGGTTAGGTTAGGGTACTGACATGGGATGTGGGAGACGTGAGACATCCAGATTCAAGTCCCAGCTTGACCTGATTTGAAGTGATCTGGGATGAAAAGTTCTGCTCTGAATTGGGCAGAACGGGGCTTTGAATTGGAGTCTCTCAACACAAGCCAGTAACCTAACATCTGGGCTATGACAGGACATCCTCACTCCCCATTGCAATGTTCCAAAGGTTTTGTTTTCATTAAATGCGGAACAAAAAAAGCCAAAGGTTGCTGCCAAACAGAACAATGATACTCTGGGTAGTTTGTTTATCATACGATATTAAAACATCCCATCTTGTGTAAGATACTTGGCGATAAGCTAGAAAGGTCTCTTGTTCAGCTGCAGAATAGATAGGCAGCTCCCATGCAAGTTTCTGCCATGTTGCTCTCACCAGAGCCTGCTGTGCCTGTACCAGGCATAGTTTCTATGTGATTCAATAGCCTTTCTGGTGAGGCAGCCAGCTTGTATATATTAGTTCTAATGAGAAACTTGTTCCCTACCTGCCACATCAGTAGCAACCAGAATCGGGATCCCCTTTTTCTTAAAGTCTGAAATGACTTTATTCCTTTCGCTCTGGTCCATGTCACCGTGAAGCAGCCCTAGATTATGATCCTCCTGCTTAAGATTGTTGGCCAGCTCCTCTGCATTTGCTTTCTTGGTGACAAAGAGGAGAACACTCCCAGAAGAAGTGAACTCCACCAGGTGCCTGGTCAGCCAGTTCCACTTGGTAGGACCGGAGGGGAGAATCTCCACAATTTGCGTAACATCTTCATTTGCCTAGGGGAAGGAATGAGAGGACAATGCGGGGGGGGGGGGGGGGGGGGGAAGGATGGTACAGTAAGCACTAGGCAGACACTGAATGCAACATAGAGAGTCAAGTCAGGAGGGCAGAGAAGAGAAGGAGGCGGCTGAAATGGGGTGAGATTCCCATTTGGAAGAGGTTTCAATTTGTATTTAATTTCTTTGCCTCGTCTCTGAATACACTGACCCAATGGGGCACAGAAGGCTGGGACTGGCCGAAACATCAGTGTGGGAGAGGCAAGGTGCACACATTGCCAGGAAGCCCTCTGATGTTCTACAACAGGGGTGGCCAACTCATTCCGGGCAAAGAGCCAAGATATCGGGGGATCCTGCGCGAAGAGCCGGGGCAAAGTTGTTGAGGAAAAAAACAAACAAACCTGCCCCTTTAAAAAAACACGTTTAGAGGCTTTTTGGCCACATCAGGCTCCCGCTGGCAGGCTCCATCTTTAATATGCCATCTTTAATGGCCACGCCAGACAGCTCCCGTGCCCCAACGAGCAACAGGGAGCTGGGAGGAGAGGGCCGTTTTCAGGGGCGCGGGGGCAGCTTTACAAGCTACGGAGGTGGCAGGGGAGGGCAGGGGGGAGCTCACAAGCTACAGGTTGGCCACAGCTGTTCTACAGCACCATATTTCCCATTTAAAACAGGCAGGTGAAGCAAGGGGAGTATGAGAGCAGGGGAACAATCAGGCCTCAGGACATGGAGAGGAGCACTCATCAGAAACATAATTTGTGCAGGATCAGAGGAGAAAGCTCCCTTCAGGAGTGAGGTAATTTCACCCGAACAGGGTAAAACCTGGTGTTGGTGAGAATCACTATACACACTGCGCACTGAGCCAACAGCAGAGGGGACAGGCACCATTGGGTGGCTCTTGATTTTTGCGCATGTGTGTTCTGATATAAATTGTCTCGAGGAGCACAAAGTTTTGCCCAGAGAAACCAGGACACTGTCCAGCTGCGCTAGCAAAGGGATTCCTTTTCTCCAAGGCAGACTGTTCGTCTAGGAAGCTGAAAACCTCAGGGCTTTAACCGGCCATTAATTTTCTTTATTAATAAAACATATGGCAGGATGCATTGCCTTTGGAAGGGATGCCTACAGATTTCCATAGGGAAGCATTGTCTCGTAAATGGCCTGCTCTACAGTTAGAGCTCAGCAATCTGCTTACAATGCAGGTTGGACCTCTCTGGTCCGGCACCTTCAGGACTTGAGCAGTCCCGAACAAAGGGACGCCCCTCCACAATGCCTCGTGCTGCCCTGCTGCCCCCGGGGCTATGGCTCCAGCCCAGCCCTGCTGCTGCCCCAGCTCCCCAGGGCTCCCTTGTTGCCCCCGGCTCACATGCTGCCAGGGCTGGAGTGCCACAGCAAGAGCTCTGCAGCTGGGGCTGAAGCTCCGTAGCCCTCTGGCTCCGCTGCCAGGACTGGAGCTTTGCAGCTGGCTGGCTCCACTGCCAGAGCTGGAGCTCCGCAGCGGGGCAGGGGGCTGGAGCTCCCTGGCTACCACTGGCGCTGGAGCTTCCCAGAAGAGGAGTTCTGGCCCCAGCGGCAGCCAGGGAGCTCCAGCCCTGGCCCTCTGGTCCTGGCTGCAGAGCCCCAGCCCTGACCACCTGGCTCCAGGGCCAGGGCCAGAGCTCTGGAGCTGGGGCAAGAGCTCCCTGGCTATTGAGGCCAGAACTTCCCACCACACCACCTGCCCCCTCAATTCAGGACTCCTGGTTGAGTCACCAGCCCCGTTACCGTGCTCCTGCCCCACCACCAGACCTCCCTGTTCCTGAGCTCTGCGGTCCAGGAACATCCATGGTCTGGCAGGACCACAGATGTTGCTGGACCAGAGAGTCCCAAATAAGGGAGGTACAACCAACCAGTACTAGCAAAATTTCTTCAAAGCAGATGTGCCTGTCACCTATTTGAACAATTAATTGACACATAGCTGGTATGATGCTGCCAGGCAAGTAAATGGCCAGAATGCCCACATAAGCCAGCCGCAAGCTGTTATATTACTAATTTTATAAGGAATCTTAGGATTGCAAAACCTGTGCAACGGGTTTAAATGATCCTGTACATTTTCAGGCCAACACACGAGAATTCATCCATTCAAGTCTGAGTGTAACACAAACAGAAACGCCTGGCACGGCACTGAAAATGTACATGTGTTGCCAGGATAAGACACATACTGACGTCTAAAAAATCTTTTATTAGAACAAAATTTCACGAAGTTTTATGTTAAAAAGGGGGGGTCTAGTTTTTTTTCGAGACAGTAACAAGCCTGGTAACCTGTTAATTTCCAGGCCATCAGTCTACAGAGGTAATGGTAAAATGATCTACTTTGATGGGAGCAGAACTGAACCCTAGGATAGTATTAGCCTACAGCTACATGGACAAAATAGTATCATTTCTTTATTATTACTCTTGTTTTGATTAAACAGCTGTATCTAAACCTTGGGCATCTAGATCTGTGACAGTGAGCACAATAAATAGCCAAACAGGGAAAGACTTTAATGTAGCAATTTATCAGAGTTATTTTTTTGTCTAGAGTAATTTTCTTAGCATCAGCATTGCTCCTGGCATTAAACACAACTCCTATCACTGTGAAGATACTTACTGATACAGAGAATTACTACAGATCATTTTTCCCCAGACATCTGGCTCATGAATCTGGCCCACATGCTCTGAATCTAACTCATCGCCATATTTGGGATCAGAAAAGAACTTCCCCCCCAGATCAGACTGGCAGAGACCCTGGGGGATTTTTACCTTCCTTTGGGACATACGTCACTAAGGCTACATCTAGACTGCAAGCCTCTTTCGCAAAAGAGCGTCTAGACTGCAAGCAGTACTTTCGAGAAAGCAAGCCGCTTTTTCAAAAGAGAGCACCCAGGCAGTCTGGATGCTCTCTTTTGAAAAAGCCCTGTTTGCATTCAAGAACGCCTTTTTTCGAAAGAGCACTTTCGAAAAAAGGCGTTCTTCCTCGTGAAATGAGGAGTACCGCCGTCGAAAGAAAAGCTGCGTTCTTTCGATTTAATTTCGAAAGAACGCGGCTGTAGTCTAGATGCAGGTGAAGTTTTTTCAAAAAAAGGCGTTCTCAAAATTAGAATACAGGGTTGTTGGTTTTTAAAATGGCATTACTTATTTTTTCCAGACATTATGTTCCAGAATGCAAACTATTTCCTCTTGCTGATCAATGACCACAGCTACAATCTAAGCCTTAATGTAAATAATATAAGGCAATATAAGAAGTCGGTTTTCTCCATCATCTTTGAATACTTTTTAAGAAACAATGTTGCAGGATTACCTCTCCAATGTCCCCCTGCACCACTCGAATCGGGTCGATCAGGATATCTCTGGCCAATTTCTCAATCTTTTTACGAAAAGTGGCACTGAACAAGAGAGCTGGAAGGAAAAGTCTATTTGAACTCTCTGAAGAGCATACTCTCTTTCTGTACCATGAAAACAGTTCTGTATAGATCTTAGTAACAAGCTATGTACCACAGAAATATAGGCACTGTGCTAGATATTAGGGATTCTGTTTTATACTCAAACTTTCACCAAGTTTAAGGCAAATTTCTGTCAAATCGCTTAGCAAAAACAGCTCAGGTTCATATTAATTTACCAGAATTTTTTTAACACATGTCTAGGAAAATGGTTAGAATAAGAGCATTTATTCAATTCTCCAAAAGCAAGATGTAGAAAGAAGGTAAATGCCACTTTGTATTCCCATGGTAGATTCCATCACAGCATATTAAATCTATCAACTCCCCTCTGAGCTAGGGGTTAAACAACACTGAGAATAACTGGAGCTGAACTGTTTAAAGTCTGGCTCCAAGTGACTTACCTAAGGTCACACAGAGTCAGTGGCAAAGCTGGAAATAAATCCAGGAATTCTGGCTCTAAGACTCTTGGTCTACCTACTAAACATCAATGCTGCTTCCCAGCTTTTACCCTGTGGTAATTTGTTTGGAAACAGGCTTGTACTTACTTTGTCTATCAGGGCGCACATGGCTGGCAACTGATCTGACCTGGTATTCTGAGAAAACAAAAAGAAAAACCAACATAAATAGTATTAGGTTTTGCATTCATTAGTCAGTGAAAGGAAATTGTCAAGATTTTTGTGCATTCGGTGGACTTAAAAAAAAAATCAAAAAGGATCCACAGTACTTTTTTTTTTTTTTGCCATAGCGAACAAAAATCTGAAGAGGTTTCTTTCTGTTCAGACTTCCTAATCATCAGTTTATTAGAAATAAGCCTACTCCAACAGAGACTGCAATGTGCAAGTGTTTCAGGTCAGCTGATGAAATAGATGAAGACAGTACATGGTTTCAGTTACTTTTGCTCTGCAATTTTCTATATGCCTCTAGGGGTAAAACAGCATTCATTAAAACTTCTGAGAGAGCTGACTGACTTTCAGCCTAAGCGATAGTGTAGAGCTCACCTGAGATTAGGGAGGTTAGAGTATAACCTAACCGTTTAATAGATAAGTTGATGCTTATCGGTTAATGGCTTCGGTTACACTCAGCTAGCTTCTGGGGAGGTGGCTTGGGCAGTGAAGCCACCTCCCGGGGGAGCTAGGCAGACAAGGGCTGACTAATGGGGAGGAGACTTCGCTGTGACAAAGGCTGCCTGCTCCATTCCTGGGAGGCTACACTGCAGGATCTGCAGTATAAAGTTAAGCTTTATACTGCAGCACCCACAGCACGGGTAACCATGTAACCGCTGAGATTTTCAGCAGTTACATGGGCACATTATTACATGATTTTTAACCTCTCTACCTGAGATACAGGCTAAGTAATGCTGCTGCCCCCAACCTGAAGGTACAGTGTATGTAATGCTCAAATTTCTTCCACTCCAACTCTGAAAGGCCCTAATCTCTGGCTTGGGAATATAAGGATTCCAGTTCAATAATTTTTTGACTGGGGGAACAAAACAAGGGCACCCAGGATTGAAGCTGCAATATAAAAAGAAAAATAACTGTCTAGGGCCACTGGGTCTGCACAGATTTTTTTAAATGTAACTTATACTCGCCAAATTGTCACAGGAATTTACAAGCACAAAACCTTCCCTGATCTTTCCCATGATGATTATCGTGGGGGAAAAAACAAAAACATTTTACTCATCCAGAAAAAGACCCCAACACCACAACCAGTTTTTACTAAAAATCTGAGGCTATCAAAATGCTCTGATTAACTTAATTTGCTCAATAATCAGCAGAACACCTTGGACAGCAACTCCATAGCAAATTTTATGCCCCATATTTAAGTCAATCGGATTCAAGAGTTGTCTAATTTCATTGTTGCTTCCAGGCTGCATCTGTTCGCTGGCAACGTGCTATTTTGTAATTCCCTTCATAATGCTCAAAAAAATTAATCTGCGTAAGTGTCCCTACACTTCCTACAGTATACTCAGAAGCCTCTTTCCACTCTTTGGTTTGCTTCCACCACCTGACAATCAAGCTGTGCTATATCCAGGCATAGGCTTTCTTTAATAACACTGCAGAGTTGTCCACATATTCAATGCACCATGCAAATATTAATTGATCAAGCACATAACATCTGTCAGTCAGATGTTACAACAGCATCCTCACTTATACATTCAGAACCAAAACACAGAGGTAAAGGGACTTTCACAGCACCACCCAGAAAGTTGGTCATGGAAGTTGGACATAAAAATCAGGATTTCTAGGCAGCCAATTCAGATTGAAAATAGTGTACACTCTATGGAGGCTTTCATTCAGTACATACCGAAACCCATGTCAAACATTCTGTCTGCTTCATCAAACACAAGATAAGAGACTCTTTGAAGATTGGTAGCTTTCTTCTTCACATGATCAATCAAGCGACCCTATCAGAAAGCAAAAATTAAAATCCACAAGCCTTCAAATGTAACAAGTGGCATCTTTGAATGTAAAGTGGGTTCTGTTCTGATATCTAATCCTCACTCAGTATAAATAATAATACTAAAACCAGACTTGTAATAGAAAATGTCTTAATGTTTCAGACTATAACAAACTGTTGCTGCACACAGCAGTTCTGTATCCATTATATTTTCAAGTCAGTGGAAGAAAGATTCCAAATGTATCTGGTTAGTGTAGCTGGTAGACTAAGTTTTAAGGCTGGGATTTTCAAAAGAACCTTAGGAGTTGGACACCTAATTCTTTGAAATCTCAGCACTTAAAGACAAGAATACAGAATGAACCTCTATTCTTAATTTCATTCAATTTTAAACATATACTAAAGAGCCCACATCCAAGAGAAAACCCAGTGCTTAAACTAGCTACTTTCTTATCACTATACAAATGCCAGCATTAATTTTCTTGGATCCTAAAGGCTTAGCTATCTGGATCATTAATTTTCCCCTATATTTACCCACTTGAGACTTATTTAAATATAATTTTACTTGGGGACACCGATGACTGAATTCTTGCTTGTATGATGAGACAAAGCCCAGTGGTCTATAGTTTCTTAAATAAAGCTCCTTTCAGACCATTAGTTTGGTAATGACTAAAGTAAATGTAATATTGCTGACAATCATTACATTAAAAACTGTTTTGCAATAAACTAGCTTGTTTGTTGAAAGTCAGTAAATTACAATGTGGCACTATGATCATTATGACTGCAACCATCTCCATTCTGAAACTGAATGATTGTTGTAACAATCTGGATTACCTAAAATGTATCCAATGCTAAATTATTCATTTTTAATGAGAAAAAGCCATATATAGCAGCTGCCTAGGCTAATGTGTCATGATGGCTTGGTACAATATAGAAACAGAATGGACATCTGGGAGAAAAACCTGCTCTATTCAGAGAAATATGCAACATCCATGCTTTAAAATATACTGCAACTATGAACATATTAGATAACATATTTAAATATAGCAACAGATCCTGCAGAACTGTTCCATGAATGATCTCTGCTGTACACAGAAGAGTACAGAGGGCTCAGAGCGGTCAAGTGGTCATTATCAAGTTTGGATATTAGATGAATATTTGAAGCATATGCCAAAAAGACTCCAGGAAACTTTGAGAAAAGGGGCCCAATTTTGAACTCTCAGGCACCATTGAGAAGATCATAAAAGACTTTCTCTGGATACAAAGTAATGGGAATAAAATGGAGGAAAACAATAGATCTTTTGATGGGCAATACAAAAGGGCTCCCTGTATATTTGAGTACTCATACACTAGTGTTAAATTACTCCAATGAAGTGATTTCTACCACTTCCACAATGTAACAGATCATGTTAGGAAATGTTCCCTGAAACTCCACCTTCAGTTTCCTCCACTTAGCACATCCCTTGACAGACAACTTAATTGTGCCAGCATTGATAACTGTTGAGAACATGTCTACTCTCCTTATTTTTCAAACTGTAGACATGTATCTTTATTAGATAGTTGTATCTGCAAACACACACTGAAAAGTACCACAGGGTCAAATACTCTGTGCTTTGCTTCAATAATTGACCCCGCAATTCTTCTTGTTTTCTTTTCACTCTGGTTGTCCATAACAGATAGCCACTAGTGCTTCTTTCGGTTTGTGTTTTCTCATTTACCCAGATTTCACCAATACTGATCTCCATTATCAAAATGTAAATCATCAGACCTGTGAATACTTTTGACATACAATGGAGTATATTTTAAAGGATATTTCATATTTCTCTGAATAGACCAGGTTTTTTCCCCAGATGTCCATTCTATGTCCCTATTTCTTCCTTTTCACAAACCAGTGTAAACTACGTGGTGGGTACACTGCTCAAAGTCTACCCACTAAATAGGTAGCTGTTTCTAACTGATCAGCAGTAAATCAAAGTTAACAATGGTGCAACTTCAAATTACTATCATTACATTTCAGAGTCAACACACAACCAAGGTAATGGATTGTTCACGCCTTTCAGAATTGCTGTTGCCTGGTGATTCAGAAGCACAGCCTGGGAGCTGGTCACTTTCAGAAGCTTTTCATCACAATCTCAGGGATAAGAAATCAATTGCTGGTACCTGCCTCATACTGACGCAATCTGACTTTGCTGTCTCTCATCTTTCCTATGTAGAGATGACCCCTTTCAATGTTTCCGGTTCAACAATGATTTCACTATGTTGCCTATAGAGCCTCCTGGGCCTTTGGTAGTATGGAAAGCTTTGGGGCTTCAATAGTTAGAGAAAGAGTTCCCCATCACCAGCTTTCAAAGAATGTGTCTCAATTTCAATTTAAAAGAAAGCCAGGTCCTTAAGCCCCAGTGCAGGCAGAAGAGAAAGATTCCATCATCGTTAAGATATACTTACCGGTGTGCAGACGACTATCTCTGCCCCTTCCTGCAGAGCTTTCGCTTGTTCCCACATACTTCCTCCTCCATACACTGCTACTGAGCGCAGGTTATAAGCTTTACCAAAGCGTTTACATTCAGCGTGAATCTAAAAGTTGCAAAAAAAAGCGTAGCTCAGGTTAGAGACACAAACAGGTCTCTTCACTCTTGGAAATACCATCTAATTCTTAAATCCCACCTTCTCAAACCTGGGCTTAATATAAGTCAAGGCAACATATTTACAAGCCCTCAGGCTTGAATTCTGCTCTCAAATATAAATATACATTAACTTTGATTGGAATTTTATCCATGCATCCAACTGCAGAATTTGGACTACAGTATTCATACAGAACTTTTCAGCTTCAAACCTTTTTCAAACATTAACTAACCTCAGCAATGTCCCTTTGAAGTATATATTGGACATATATTGTTATTTTGTATATTCAACATATAGGAACAACACAACTGACATTTTTATTAGTTATGACATTTTTAATAGTACTAGTAGTATTAGGATATGTTAAGTGTCAATAGGGTACAATACAGGTCAGTTCTGGTACCACTGTAATTAACATACACAATTTTTATAGATTTGACACCTGTGTCATGAGGCTCTTCACCAACCGCTTTCAGAAGTATATCAGATAATTAGTTCATATAGGTGGCACCTCCCAAATCCGGGATTCTCTTGTCTGGCAACATCCGTGGTCCGGCATGACCACAGATGTTCCTGGATGAGAGAGGTCTGGGACAGGAGGGCCAGCAATTGGGAGCACGGTGCAACCCTGTAACTCTGTTAGCAGCGGTGCTGCAGCAGGCTGGGCAGAGCACGATCAGGACTATCTGTTACCCAACAGTGGGGCCAGTATGACAGGAGCCCAAGAGAGGAAGCCTGCCCAGGCCACGTCAGCCTAGGAGGCGGCGGCAGCGTGACTGGGGTGCTTGCCCCCCCAGGAGCGAGGCCGGAGCTGCAGCCACAGCAGCCTGGGAGAGGAAGTCAGCTGCGGCAGCCCAGCAGAATCAGAACAGCCAGGGCCACGGGGTTGGGGCTGCGGCAGCCCGATCAGGCAACATGCCATTCTGCAGTGGAGCTGGAGCTGCCCAGCCAGCTAGCAACAGAGCTGAGGCTGGCCTGCAGACAGTTCAGCTGGGCTGAAGGAGCCAGCAGTGGGGAGGGGCAGCAGGCCGAGTGGGTGGAGTCAGAGGACCTTCCATTGTTTGGGAAATTCCCTCATCTGGGACTGGTCAAGTCCCAAGGGTGCTGGACAAGAGAGGTCCAACCTGTATCTATGAAGTTGGTTGAGATCCCAGAAGGAAAGGAGTTGCAAGTGTAAAGTATTATCTTAAATTATAACTAGGGCATTCATACATAGATCTCAATGCAAGAGAAATTAGCTGATAAACTGCAATAATCTGTTGGTAAAGATTGAACTGTCATGTTCGAAGAGGAAACAGTGCTAACAAATACATGTATATGATGTGCCTACCTGTTGGCAAAGCTCTCTGGTTGGGCACACGATCACTGCAATAGGACCATCCCCTGGCTCCAGCTCCTTTTGATCCATGATGTGGATTAACATTGGCCAGATGAAGGCTGCAGTTTTCCCACTGCCCGTCTTGGCTATGCCAATCATGTCTCTCCCACTCAATGCAACCGGCACACCCTGAAAATAAAAACACTTTCTAAACCCACGCGCTAGCCAACACATAAAGAGCCTGAGAAAGGAGAGAGATTGAAAGCCCACAGAGTCAGGGGGACAAGATAGTACAAGGGGAATTGGTAACAGACTATATGTGCCTCCATATCTAGGTTGCAAATTCAGATCTAGGTGAACTTGATAGAGAATGAAGTTATTAGCACTTCAGGGCTGTTGTGTGGCCTGTGTGAAATTAATGGTGGGAATTCAGTACAGTATTCAGTGGATAGATAAACATACATTGAAATTCCTGCTCAATCTTAGCAGAGGGGTCAAGTGACTAAACAGCTCTAAGGGATACCCTCTCCCTCTTGGTCCAGATGTGGGCACACTGAGGGAGTGATGAAGGGAAGTTTTCACTGCTCCAACCAGGCTGTAACAGAACTAAGCAATGATGACTCAATTAGTCTCCAAGTGCTAATCCAGCATTTTTCAGCAGCAGATGTTTTATACATCCTGGGTTTAAACTAGGTTTGATGGGGGCAGGTGACAAAAGCCCACAGGTAAGTGAAAAACAGAGACCTGGGAGATGGGTCAGAAATGGGCATGGGCTATAACAGAGATAAAGGAGGGACAAGGTAGAACTGGGGGGGGGGGGGGAATACAAATTCAAGAAGTATGAGGAATAAGCAAGAAGAACCTGAAGTGCTAATAAACACATCTGTGACACAGTTGGTATCAGTTGGTATCACAGAGACTTGGTGGGATAATATACACGATTGGAATATTGGTATAGAAGGGTACAACTTGCTCAGGAAGGATAGGCAGGGGAAAAAGAGGAAGAGGTGTTACCTTATATATTAAAATGCATACATTTGGTCTGAGATAGAGATGTACGTAGGAGACAGACTTGTTGAGAGTCTCTGGGTTAGGTTAAAAAGGGTAAAAACCAAGGGTTGTGTCATGTTAGGGGTCCACCCCTACAGACAGAAGAGGTGGACAAGGTTTTTTGTAAACAACAAACAAAAGCATCCAAAGCACAGAATTTGGTGGAGATGGGGGACTTCAACTATCCAGACATATGTTGGGAAACACACACAGCAGGGCACAGATTATCCAATAAGTTCTTGGATTGCACTGGAGACAATTTTTTATTTCAGAAGATTGAGAAAGCTACTAAGGGGGAAGCTGTTCTAGATTTAATTTTAACAAACAGGGAAGAACAGGTTGAAAATCTGAAAGTGGAAGGCAGCTTAGGTGAAAGTGACCATGAAATTACAGAGTTCACAATTCTAAGGAATGGTAGAAGGGGGAACCGCAAAACAGAGACAATGGATTTCAGGAACGCAGATTTTAGTAAACTCAGAGCTGGTAGGTAAGGTCCCATGGGAAGCAAGACTAAGAGGAAAAACAATTGAAGATAGTTGGCAGTTTTTCAAAGGGACATTATTAAGGGCTCAAAAGCAAACTATTTCACTGAGTAGGAAAGATAGACAGTATGGCAGGAGACCATCTTGGATCAACCAGGAGACCTTACATGATCTAAAAATAAAAAAAGGAGTCATAAAAAGTGGAAACTCGGTCAAATTACAAAGCACGAATATAAGCAAACACCACAGATATGCAGGAGCAAGATTAGCAAGGCAAAGACACAAAACGAACTAAATCTACCTAGAGACATAAAGGAGAAAAAACAAGATGTTCTATCAGTATATTAGAAGCAAGATGACGACCAAAGACAGGGTAGGCCCATTGCTCAGTGAAGAGGGAGAAAACAGGAAACTTGGAAATAGCAGAGGTGCTTAACGACGTCTTTATTTAGGTTTTTTCCCAAGATGGATGGTGACAGGGTGCCTAACCTACTGAATGCTAGTGGAAATCAGGTAGGTTTAGAAGTTAAAAAAAGAATAAGTTAAAAATTACTTTGAAAAGTTAGATGTGTGCAAGCCACCAGGGCCTTATGAAATGCATCCTAGAATATTCAAGGAGCTGATAGAGGAGGTATCTGAGCCTTTAACTATCATCTTTGAAAAATCATGGTTGTCGGGAGAGATTCCATCTATAAAACGGGAAATAAGAACAACCCGGGAAACTACAGACCAGTCAGTTTAACTTCTGTGCTAGGGAAGATAATGGAGAAAGTAATTAAGGACTTAATCTGCAAACATCTGGAAGATAATAAGACGATAGGGAACAGCCAGCATGAATTTGTAAAGAACAAATCAGGTCAAACCGATCTGACAGCTTTCTTTTACAGAATATCAAGCCTTGTGGATAAGGGAAAAGCGGTGGATGTGGTATACTTAGACTTTAGTAAGGCATTTGACACAGTCTCGAATGACCTTCTTATCAATAAACTTGGGAAATACAACCTAGATGGGGATACTATAAGGTGGGTGTATAACTAGCTAGGGTTACGCAGGGGTCTGTTTTGGGACCAGTTCTGTTCAATATCTTCATCAATGATTTAGATATTGGCAGAGAGAGTACGCTTATTAAGTCTGCAGATGACAGCAAGCTGGGAGGGGTTGCAAGTGCTTTGGAGGATAGGGTCATAATGCAAAATGACCTGGACAAACTGGAGAAATGGTCTGAGGTAAACGGAATGAAGTTTAATAAGGACAAATGCAAAGTAGTCCACTTAGGAAAGAACAATCAGTTTTGCAAATACAGACTGGAAAGTGACTGTCTAGGAAGGAGAACGGCAGAAAGGGATCTAGGGGTTATAGTGGACCACAAGCTAAATATGAGTCAACAGTGTGATGCTGTTGCAAAAAAACCAAACATGATTCTAGGATGCATTAACAGGTGAGTTGAGATCAAGACACGAGAAGTCATTCTTCCGCTCTACTCTGCGCTGATTAGGCCTCAGTAATGTGTTCAGTTCTGGGCAAGACATCACAAGAAAGATGTGGAGAAATTGGAGAAGGTCCAGAGAAGAGCAACAAGAATGATTAAAGGTCTAGAGAACATGATCTATGAAGGAAAACTGAAAGAATTGGGCTTGTTTAGTTTGGAAAAGAAAAGATTAAGAGGGGACATGATAGCAGTTTTCAGGTATCTATATGAGTGTCACAAGGAGGAGGGAGAAAAATTGTTCTCTTTGGCCTCTGAGGATAGAACAAGAAGCAAGGGGCTCAAACTGCAGCAGGGAGGTTTAGGTTGGACATTAGGAAAAAGTTCCTAACTGTCAGGGTGGTTAAACACTGGAATAAATTGCCCAGGGAGGTTGTGGAATCCCCATCTCTGGAGATATTTAAGAGTAGGTTAGATAAATGTCTATCAGGGATGGTCTAGACAGTATTTGGTCCTGTGGGAAACACACACAGCAGGGCACAGATTATCCAATAAGTTCTTGGATTGCACTGGAGACAATTTTTTATTTCAGAAGATTGAGAAAGCTACTAAGGGGGAAGCTGTTCTAGATTTAATTTTAACAAACAGGGAAGAACAGGTTGAAAATCTGAAAGTGGAAGGCAGCTTAGGTGAAAGTGACCATGAAATTACAGAGTTCACAATTCTAAGGAATGGTAGAAGGGGGAACCGCAAAACAGAGACAATGGATTTCAGGAACGCAGATTTTAGTAAACTCAGAGCTGGTAGGTAAGGTCCCATGGGAAGCAAGACTAAGAGGAAAAACAATTGAAGATAGTTGGCAGTTTTTCAAAGGGACATTATTAAGGGCTCAAAAGCAAACTATTTCACTGAGTAGGAAAGATAGACAGTATGGCAGGAGACCATCTTGGATCAACCAGGAGACCTTACATGATCTAAAAATAAAAAAAGGAGTCATAAAAAGTGGAAACTCGGTCAAATTACAAAGCACGAATATAAGCAAACACCACAGATATGCAGGAGCAAGATTAGCAAGGCAAAGACACAAAACGAACTAAATCTACCTAGAGACATAAAGGAGAAAAAACAAGATGTTCTATCAGTATATTAGAAGCAAGATGACGACCAAAGACAGGGTAGGCCCATTGCTCAGTGAAGAGGGAGAAAACAGGAAACTTGGAAATAGCAGAGGTGCTTAACGACGTCTTTATTTAGGTTTTTTCCCAAGATGGATGGTGACAGGGTGCCTAACCTACTGAATGCTAGTGGAAATCAGGTAGGTTTAGAAGTTAAAAAAAGAATAAGTTAAAAATTACTTTGAAAAGTTAGATGTGTGCAAGCCACCAGGGCCTTATGAAATGCATCCTAGAATATTCAAGGAGCTGATAGAGGAGGTATCTGAGCCTTTAACTATCATCTTTGAAAAATCATGGTTGTCGGGAGAGATTCCATCTATAAAACGGGAAATAAGAACAACCCGGGAAACTACAGACCAGTCAGTTTAACTTCTGTGCTAGGGAAGATAATGGAGAAAGTAATTAAGGACTTAATCTGCAAACATCTGGAAGATAATAAGACGATAGGGAACAGCCAGCATGAATTTGTAAAGAACAAATCAGGTCAAACCGATCTGACAGCTTTCTTTTACAGAATATCAAGCCTTGTGGATAAGGGAAAAGCGGTGGATGTGGTATACTTAGACTTTAGTAAGGCATTTGACACAGTCTCGAATGACCTTCTTATCAATAAACTTGGGAAATACAACCTAGATGGGGATACTATAAGGTGGGTGTATAACTAGCTAGGGTTACGCAGGGGTCTGTTTTGGGACCAGTTCTGTTCAATATCTTCATCAATGATTTAGATATTGGCAGAGAGAGTACGCTTATTAAGTCTGCAGATGACAGCAAGCTGGGAGGGGTTGCAAGTGCTTTGGAGGATAGGGTCATAATGCAAAATGACCTGGACAAACTGGAGAAATGGGCTGAGATAAATAGGATGACGTTTAATAAGGACAAATGCAAAGAACTCCACTTAGGAAGGAACAATCAATTTCACACATACAGAGGTGATTGTCCATGATGGAGTACTGCAGAAAGGGATGTAGGGGTCATAGTGCACCACAAGTTAAACATGAGTCAACAGTATGACACTGTTGCAAAAAAAAGCAAACATGATTCTTGGATGTATTAACAGGAGTGTTGTGAGCAAGAGCCAAGAAATTATTCTTCTGCTCTACTCTGCGCTGATTAGGCCCCAATTGGAGTATTGTGTCCAGTTCTGGGCACCACATTTCAAGAAAGAAGTGGAGAAATTGGAGAAGGTCCAGAGAAGAGCAAGAAAAATTATTAAAGGTCTTGAAAACATGACCTATGAGGGAAGACTGAAAAAACTGGGCTTGTTTTGTTTAGGAAAAAAAGAAGACTGAGAGGGATAGGATGGCAGTTTTCAAATATCTAAAAGGGTGTTACAAGGAGGAGGGAAAAAATTGTTCTCCGTGGCCTCTGAGGATAGGACAAAAGGCAATGGGCTTAAATTGCAGAAAGGGAAGTTTAGGTTGCACATTAGGAAATACTTCCTCACTGTCAGGATGGTTAAACACTGGAATAAATTGCCTACTGAGGTTGTGGAATCTACATCACTGGAGATATTTAAGAGCAAGTTGGATAGACATCTATCAGGGATGATTTAGACAGCGCTTGGTCCTGCCATGAGGGCAGGGGACTAGACTCAATGACCTCTCGAGGTCCCTTCCAGTTGTAGGATTTTTTGATTCTTTAAGTAGAGACTATCCTCACATACACCACCCTCGAGACCCAGCAAAGTCTGAGGAATATTACATTTAAATTCTAGACATAACTTTAAAAAACCTCATCAAAAAATGCAACCATAGCATGGTTGGTGCTAACCTTACCCTAGTGATGGTCAGCTTCTCTCTTCTGTTCTAATCAGCTACATGTGCAGAAAAATCACTTGCACATACACCCCAATACAGGCACGACCACTTCACTAAAATAATGGTTATGGGATACACGCCAATAACTAAAAAACCCAAAACAAAATAAGCACTTTCCATGTAGCCTACCCATCCGACACATGTTGCCAGCTAGGTATGAACTGTTTGCTAGTAAAAGGTGTCCAATGTGCTATTCTATGTTCATTTTGTGCAATACTTATTTATAAAGCAAGAATTAAAAATATAAAAGGGGACATCTATAGACCCCTGAACAACAGAATAATTGGCTCACACCTGCTACAAAACCTATTGGGTGGGCCAATGGAGTTGATTTACAATTGATATTTAAGTAAGGAATTTGCATGGATGTATGTGTATTATTCTTGAGGATGGCTTTATATAGGTGATCATAATTGCTCTCAGCTTCATGTGGCCTATGGGCCATTTTTGCCATCAGCTCTTCTGCGGATAGAACTAGGGGAAAAGGAAGTAACAGTACTCACCTGACACTGTATAGGAGTGGGTTGGGTATACTCTGATTTCCGAATCTGATGCATAAGCTGTTCATCAAATCCAAAATGAGCAAAACTACTGGCAGGTCTTGGTGGAGCAGCACCAGAGACCTAGAAGTAAAGAGATACATGTACAGTAGGAAATAAAACCTTGGAACGGGAAAGAGAAAACAGAGAAGTCTTTATATAAAATTAACATAATGTTTTTACACCAGAGAAAGGCCCATCTTCATTTTGACAGGCATAAGGTTAACCTAAAGCATTCTGGACTACAGGAACATGAATAGCAGCGTACACCACAGTTTTGTCTTGTAACTCTTCCAAGTTATGTAGTCCATGGTAGTCTCCTCTGGGGGAGTTACAGCAGAGCACTTTGGCAGTATGCTGCTATTCACATCCCCGTAGTCCAGAACTGAGGACAGCATAGACAAGTCCTGAGACTCAACACCCCTGTGTGGAAGCTGGATAATATAATTATTTTACAAGTGGGGAAACTAATGAAAAGAGAAATTAAATATTCTGCCTACGTCACAAAGTGAGTTAGGTGGGACTCGTATCCAGGTGTTCTAACTCTCAGAGATAGATCTTCTCAGTTATTTGTTATTTACTATAGAGGATAAAAATGCAGAGCTGGGCATATACAGCATGCCAAATATTACTGCTCTGGATTCAATTCGGAACGGTTATTGCATAATTAAGGAACAAGTCTCAACAATAAATTAAATTAGATTTTAAATGGTCATTTGTATTTAATATTTTACAATTACAAAAATCTCAGAAGTGACACTGAGCTTCTGATTTCCAAAGGTGCCCCAGGAGAGAGCAGAAATAACACAGGATGGATTCCCTTATCAAACATCTATAGTTCCATGGTGTCCAACAAGTTCTGAAACAGTAGCTAGGAGATTGGTTACTGCTACAGAGAACTAGCCACACTCAACTGGCCAAACAGCCACATGTGGCTAGTGGGTTGGACACCACGGCTATAGTTTCAATTCTGCATGATACAATAACTCAGTCTAATTCAGGAAAATGTGACTATGGTACCTTTTTTCCCCCCCTTCCCTATGGCAAGCAAACTACTTCCTTGGGAACGAGTTATTAAACTCCTTCATTTATAAACACAAAGCAAGAACCCTAAACCTAACTATGCCACTAAAATAGTGTAAAAACAATGAGAAGTCCTGTGGCACCTTATGTATTTAGGCATAAGCTTTTGTGGGTAAAAAGCACTTCGACAGATGCATGGAGTGGAAATCAGAGGTAGGGAATCTACTATATATGAGAGAGTTTGTGCATCTGTCTGTCTTTAAGTCCATTTGTTCAAGAACTCCTAATTTCCACCAAATTTGGTATGCAGCTTCCTCTTATTAAAACTTAAAGCAGTCAGGGTTTGGTTGTGCCAGTATAATGAGATGTGCCTGGAATTCAACTGTTTTTCATAAAATGTAAAGGGAGCAGTCTAGTAGGAGGAACAGTTATACTACAGAATGAACACAAAGGGGCAGCAAAGGGCCAGAGAAGGGGACCAGGACAACTATACCTCATTGGGCCAGCAGGGGTGGAAAAGGACCAGCTACCTACTATATATTTCAGCAAGTTTCTTTGTGTGTCTGTCTTCCAGCCAGGAGACATGCACCTCTCTCCCCAGTTGTGCCCGCAGCAGTGGCCATGGACAGGTGCTTCTCATCTGGCCCAAGTTGCTGTGGTGACAGAGGGCTGGGCTGACTACTCACCCCAGGGCAGCATGCATATGGAACCCCCTCATCCTCAGCCCCACCCAGAAAAATGGTATAAATGAAGAAAAACAAAACTTATTTGAGTTAAAGAACCGAGCCAAAGCCAGGTAATTCTAGAGTGTGTGCGTGTATGAACACACACTAGCATATCAAAAGAAGAGAGTTACTTATCAAGTGTGGATCCAGTGTTCTCGAGGCCAATTCAGTCAGGGTGAATGTGGCTCACTCCCAGAAGCTAACAGGGAGGTGTGAATACCTTTGCAGTGAGATAACTCTTCTAATTCACAAAAATAATGCGGAACTTGTGAAATCATATACTAACACATTTTATTTTATTCCTCTATGCATAGGTTGAGTGAGCTAGATAGTTTTCATGCTGTTAGTTAAATGAGATGGGTTTTGAATAAAGTGTCGAGACCAATGGACCAGCACGTTTAATATACTCAAATAAACGAAGGACAGTTTTTCTCTTACTTGCAGACAGATCCCATACCCATACTGAGCACATAAAAACCCTTTAGGAAATATAAGCTGCACATTAAATACATTGGCCAAGATTTTCAAATGTAACTCTTGATCTTGGGTATCCAACACAAGATGCCTCAAATGGACCCAACTTTCAGGAAGTACTGAGCACCTGCTCTCTGGAGAAAAAAAAACACACACTTCTTTACAGTGTTTCTAGCGGTCTCAAAATTGCTTGAGGAAATTTGGGGCATAATTACTAAAGCAATCCCAATGGGTGGAATTGAGGGGTTCTGGGAGCATGGTTATGTTTCCAGCTTACCCGTAGATTCAACTTATGTCGTAGTTCTACTATCTGCTGAGGAGTGAGGCTGCTGATTTCCTCATGCTCATCATAGAAGTTCTTCTCAAATGGAGGGTATTCAATCTGCAGGTTCAATTATTCACAGTTAGTCTACAAGTCAAGAATCCACTCTGTACACTGGATTTTGGCCAACAGCTGGTCTGGGAGGATGATGGGTTTTTTGGAAATAATTTCAATGTAAAGAGACAGAGAAAACACTTTAAATGGCATAGCAGTGAAATGCTGTCTACCATAATCGGTTGTACATGAGAAATTTGTTTCCAGCAGCCTTCTTCATACCACCTACACCTCACTAAGGGTACGTCTAGACTACAGGGTTTTGTCGACGGAAGTTTTGTCCACAGATACTGTCGACAAAACTTCTGTTGACATAGAGCGTCTAGACACATTCAGTTCTGTCAACAAAGCAAGCTGCTTTGTCGACAAAACCCTGTAGTCTAGACGCAACCCTACAGGCAATAACACCTTCTGTCGACAGAACTCTGTCGACAGAAGGCGTTATGCCTCGTAAAATGAGGTTTACCAGCGTCAACAAAACTGCTGAGTTCTGTTGACGTTATGTCGACAGAACTCAGCAGTAGTGTAGTTTTGTCGACAAAAGTGGACTTTTAGGTATAGTTTTGTCGACAAAAGTGGACTTTTGTCGACAAAACTCAGTAGTCTAGACACACCCTAAGAGGCTCTAATCAGTCATTCTAGTCGGTGAGGTGATAACACAGTCAACAATTTTTAACTGAGTTAATCCATGCTTCTTGACTGCACTACCGTCCAGACATCACTGCCACATATGCATAGTTCATTAAAATACTCTCTTAATTTCTTACCATTCTTTATCTCATAGCTCTGTAACCCTCGTTCTGTTCTGCTCAATTACCTCAAACAGATCCAGATTAATTAGCCAATTTAAACCCTTCAATCAGATACATATTTTGAGGTTCTCCACTGATCTTGCTCATTAGACTAAGGAATACACAAATTTCTGAAGTTAAAAGATAGTTAGAAGAAACTCCGTCCCAACCTCTGAATGATCAATAGGTGGTAGAGGATCAATTATTTTTTTGGACGGTGCAATTGGATTCCCATCACTATCATATTCCAAGTTATCCTCTTCCTCTTCTGGCACCACACCAGCAGTAGGGTTTTCTGCCATGTAGCGAAAGTAAGCTTCCTGCAGCAAAACACATCAGTAAAATCACACACAAATCCAATGGGGGAAATACTATTGTATTTTTGCTGAACTGGTGCATATATTAGATGCTGCTTGCTTGAACACCTACCATTGAGGGACAACATGTTCACTAGAACTGGCTCTTCTAGTAAACAGCAATAGTTGTAAAGTCCAAAGGAAAGACTCAGAAGAAATGAAGAAAGCTGCTTTAATGTCCACTAATAACAAAATGCTTTAAAAACTTTTTTCTTCTTCAAAAGACTGATTAAGAAATGTTTGTACCAAGAAATGTGTTATTCTTTATTAAATGGCACAGCCTATTCTTACATCCACAAAGACTACAGATCAAATGCTGCTGCCTTTTAAACATGGAAGTTTGAACAAGAAGTCACTGTACATTCAATTTTTAACACAACCCCTAGCATGCCTCAAATGTTTATTTTCCACTTCCCCCCACCATCTCCTGAGTGATGAAAAGGTGCTTTGCTTCAACATACTAACAGATAATCAACACCCCACTTCAACGGGAAAGAAACAATTCCAAAAGAACACTTGAAGAGAGGCACAAGTTGGAAGTCACTGAAGGCATTGGAAGATCCCACCCAAGACAGCTAACAAAGATGCACATATACTGTAGAGTCTCTCACTGTTAATGTGCAAACCATAACAATTTCATGTCTCACCTGACTCCTCAGCAAAGATTTAGGGTCAGATTTCCAAAGTCCTGTGCATGTACCTGTGTGCAAATGTTTGCACTTGTCTAATCTTCGTATGTGCATTCACCAGACCAATTAGTTCTCTAACCATTTGTGCATAATCTCAGGTATTTGCATGCATAAACTAGCTTCTCTCAAACATATGCAGTTACAGAACTTTGGTGTTGTCCTACATTACTGAAACTAACAGAATAGTTACCAATAAATCACAAAGTATCAAATAATTAAGACTACATATCACATGAATGAATACATTTTGAAATGAAGGCTCTTTTCCTCATTTACGATGTGCACTAAGGCAGGTCTACAAGTAGACTTACCACGCAGCAAGCTAGGGTGTAAAACTACAGCACGCTGCACACTTAGTGTCCATGTAGACCCTACTGCAGTCACAGTACAGCAAAGCATACTATGGCACAGCAGCTTCGTGTGTTGATTTAAACTCCAGCTTGCTGCAAAGTAAGCATTCGTTTAGACATGCCCTTATTGTATTGCCTAGATGCCTCATTTGGGATTGGGGGGCCTAATTGTGAGTACAGAGTAAAAGATGATCTCTGTCCCAACAAGACACAAAACTTGGCTGACAAGTGATCAGTGATTTCCCAAGGTTCCACTGTAGCTCTGTGTTAGATTACTATGCTCTAGATGGAAGAACAAACAGTCTCCAAGGATAGACAGAGAAGCTTGGCACAGCAACTTGGCTGACCTAGCAGCTGAAAAGTGGGTAATGTTTCAGAGAAAAGGGACTCCAGACAAATTTTAAAATATTTGGTCTAACCTTCTAGAAGCTTTTCATTAATTCCTAACAGATGGAGACTGAGATGTCACTCTCCTTTCCCTTCCCTGCTCCCCTTCCTTCCTCTCTTCTCTCCCCCATTTCTTTTCCTTTCTGTTCTTTTATATGGGGAAAT